TTAAAAACTTCCGCTGCGGTTTTCCTGTTTGGCTGGGCGCAGGTGGCCCGTTAATTAGCGGCGCTTTTGGTTCCCCTTTTCCCCGCTAGCTTCCGCCCATGGGTTCCGCGTGGTCTGGCTGCGAGCTTCCCTGCAGCCCCGTGCTTCCCTGAAGCCTCGTGCTGACCGAACCTGACACCTCTCACCCAACCCACCTCACAGGGTTGTTGTTGTGGGGAAAATAGGCAGGAGTATTAGGTATGTTTGCTGCTTGAATTGACCAAAAATATATTTTAAAAGGTGGAATAAACATCTAATAATGATGATAATGCCTTTCCTGCTGGACCTAATGGGATGTGTAAAGGCGGGCTCTCAAATAACCTAGCCCCATGCGATGAAGGGCTTTATAGGTCATGACCAGCACCTTGAATTGAATCTGGAAGTATACTGGCAATCAGTGTAGCTTGCGGAGCAGTGGTATAATGTGCTGAACAAGGAGCATGCATAAGTGCCTGTGCCTCTGCATCATACCGGCTGCAGCTTCTGGATGGTTTTCTGTTGAGCATTTCAGTAGAAAGACAAGGTAATTTGAGTGTTTTTTTTGTTCCTGATTGGGCTTAAAAAGACTTTTCTGGCAGTCATGCTAGGTCTCTACTGCATCATTTTCTTTACTTCTTTATTTATTTAATCACTTTTGTATAGCTGCCTATTTCACATAGTGACTCTGGGTGGTGTATATAATAATAATCAAGACCACTAAAAAACCACTAAAACAACTAATTTAAATTACGTGTTATAAAAAAAGACTGCTTTTAATGTCTTCATCAGAACACGCCCCTTCCTGAATTGTTCTCTTGACAAAAATGGCAAAAGCAGGAAGGAATTCTACTCCTCCTTTACTCACACAACTCAAAGAAACCACAGAATGCTTCGTACTGGTGACCAAGGCCCATAGAAAACATTTCTCCCCATCATATGGTTTTGTTTGCAAAGCAATTTGGCCAAAAAGAGAAATGAAATATAAATAATTGCAAAGGCAGCTCACATAAAGTAGTTGCTGAAAATTAAATCAAGACACTGAAATCCTCATCCTGTAATTAAACTTTTATTTATTTAACTTAGAGTACAGCTGATCTTAAGAGTCCCTTGGCAGTTTACAATAAAAACAAATGTAAAATAAGACATTAAAATATTTAATAAAGCCAATAAAACAAGTATAGTAGTAAAATTAATAATGAAAGTGGATAAACTGTTCATAAATGTATGTTTTAAGGGCCCTTTTAGCTTCTATGAATGGATGAAGCTATGAATGAAAATATGTTAGATCAGTCAGCTTTATAAGGAGTGTATTCTTAAGAACTGGGGAGGCAACAGAGAAAGTGTGACCCCAATCACTGCCAGACAAGCTCATGGCATTCATAGACAAATTTCTCAGGTGATCTCAGTAAGCTTGGAGGTTCATGTAGAAAGAAACTTCTCAAACAGCCTGGACCTAAACATACTTAGGGATTTGAAGGAAAACAATTATTAGCTCAGCGCTTTAAGCACAAGTGTAATACAGTCTACACATTTACATACCAACAGAGGTTTCTGCACTAGACACGAAGGTAGAGCACATTACCAGTCAACCCTCTGTGTTAGTACACATGTAAGTTTTAAGGTAATTTTCTATCAGAAAAGGATGCAGTTAGTGTATCAACAGAAGCTGATAAAAAGTACTCCTGGCCATTGTTTCAGTCTGAGAAACCAGAGACTGACCCAACTCTGTACCTACTATTTCTGGGAGAGTGTAATCCCATTCATGACAGATAGAACTATCAACTCTCCAGAATGATGGGCCCTAACAATAAATACTTCCATCCTTTCTGAATTCAACTTCAGTTTATTACCCCATATCCAACCCATTACTGACTGCAGGCAGGGGTTCAGTAGAGCCATGTTACTTCCTCTCTGTTGAGTATTTCCAACAGAAATTATTGGACAATAATATGGGGCTGCTTCAATGGGACATACCATAATTTCAACCCTAATTCAATTATGCTGAGCTATTTTGTTTTTCATTTTTCATGAAGCCTGCCTCCAAATGAAGCATTGCATTAACATTGAATATGGAGTAACTTTCTCAGGAATATGGACTGTTTGATTTCCAATTTACTGGGTTTGATATTGGTCCTATTTGTGGCTCATACAATAATTCTGTACCCAACTTATCTAAGTATAGTTTAACATGGCCAGAATAAATTGAGCATCTCTATGTCAGTGAAAGGATAGGAGTTGATCACTGGGCATTCTGAGTTAAGTGAACTGTCCTGCTACCCATACCTTGAAAGACTATTCCTAGAGTTTTAACATACGAGACATGTTCACATTTGTGACCATCTAGGGACCAATTAAGAGATTTTGAGCACTTTGCAAACACCATCACTTTAGGCTTGATATACTTTAATTATAACGACAGCTGTTTACAATAGAATAAAACAAAATACAAAATACACCTTAGCCCAGCAGGAATTTGAGAAAATAAAAGTAACATAATCTGCATAAAACAAAGTTCATAATTGCCTACAGTATTTGTCAAACTGCAGTGAATGGTAAATCATCCAGATATGGAGCAGCTAATGGTTAGCCACACAGAGTCATGTGTCAAGTGGGCAGCTATATAAATTTAAATAATAAAAAACTCAAACACATTAATGTAAAAGTAAATAGTTGTGGGACCAAGATGTACCCTTGTCTCACCCCTCTTCTAATTGGAATCTCTTTGGTTTAATATCCTGATATATTGCAATCTGCCTTTAGGAAGGAACCTCCATGTAATTTCTACACTAGTATGAAAAACCAGTGATTTTGGATATCAGAACACATGTACTTCTGATATCTACAAAGGCAATAACCTTTTATGGCTTGATAATATATTTTTATGCAAAATGTTACAGTATTGATGCCCGATTTACAGTGGAACGGCTGATCCTAAAGCCAGCCTACTCATTGTCAAAATATTTTCATGTTCAAATGAAATTTATACATTCTTGTATAAATCAATGAAATCAAGGTGAAGTGGTTACGGTGCTAACTGGAAGCAGGGAGAACAATTTTAAATCCCCATCTGTCTGTGGAAACCATTTGATGGTTCCTTAATCAAATTTACCTCTCACTGTACTGCATACATGTATAAACTTGTGCAGTAAGACTGCAGTCTTATATATACATAGAAATAAGTTGCACTGAACAAGTAGACATGCATAAGAAGCAACATTAATTAACATTAAGAAGCTTAACAAACCATACATATCTGTACTGCAAAAATCCAGATGTTGCTACATAGGAGCAAACAGATACATAAGGCTCTGTGCTGCCATCTTATGGTCATCAGATTTTTGCAACCCATATATGCTATACCTAGTATCAACAAGGAAAGTGCAGGATGTTTTCAGAAATAATTGAGTTGGTACTAGGAAAACATTGAGAATCTGCCAGTGCCCTGTCCAGATTTGAGCACTGCAGACAATTTACTGTATGCACTCTCCTTCATTGTTTAATACAGTGTTTCATAAACTTTTTTTGCTCAGGACCCTTTCCCACTTTTAAAAATTATGGAGGACCCCAAAACAGCTTTTATTTGTATGGGTTATATTTATCAATATTTACCATATTAAAAATTAAAATTGACATATTTGCTGCTGTTTCTCACAACTGTTTGATGGGATTTTAATATTTATTATTTTTCAATATAGGCTGGCAAATAATTTTGATTTCGCAGACCCTGATAGGGTCTTGGGGTCCTAGGATCACACTGTCTAATAGATTACTGGAAGGCAAATTCTGAAAAATTCAGTAAATTTAAAAACAAAGTTTTAAACTGCTAGGAACAAAGAAAAAAAACCCATTATCTTTTCCCAGAAAATGTTGCTTTCAGATTAATTTATTTATTAACTTACTGACTTTATATGCCATTCCAATCATAAGCAACTTTGAGTGGCTCACCCTCCAAAATACAATATTTGGATTAAAAACATAATTAACATAATACAGCAACAATATAGCCTTGAGGAACAGTCAAAACAGCAATCAATGATACCTCCAAAATGGACCAGAATTTATATCAACCCCCAAAGCCCATCTGGTAAAGCCAGGTCTTACTGGCCTTCCAAATTCTTAGCAAGATTAAGGCTACTTTAATCTCTGGGATCATGCTATTCCAAAGAAGGAGAGGAACAACAGAGAAGGTCTGCCATTATGGAGCCTGATGGTTTCACTTTATAGGGGTCAGGATTTCATAATCTTAATTTTTCTTTTAATATAGTAACCAGAAATATAGCTTTGTTCCAATGCCATACATTTAACAGTAACTATGTCCCATTTTGTTCAACACCATCATCACAAAGGTTAACACATGCACGCACACATATTCTCTCCTAAGGGATAAATACATTGTGTTTCTATGGGATGTGTAAAATGCCAGAGGAAAAAAATATTCCTGAGTTTGTTAGATTACTATGTAATACAGAAACACAAAATCTTTTCCATCTAAAATGGTTCCAAGACCCCAATTAGCCTTATTCCACCTAAATCAGAAGATACTCATGTATATTTACCAGAATGTATTTTGTGTGTTATCTTTTGAGCTCCAGAAATTTTCAATTATAGCAACCAATACTGTGTAATATAAAAAGATGGCTGGAACATACTGCCAGCACTAATACATATCATAGTTGTAAGACTGCTTTTCATTTCAAATTGATATCCTACTTGCAATTTTACTGTGAATGTAAGATTCCTAAGAAAAAACAAGGCTGTACTCAAAATTTAGTGGAATTTAATAGATTTAGCAAAGTCACTTCAACTGCATGATAAAATTTTCACTAAAAGCTAAATCATTATAACCATTTGCATTCTGGCTCCACTAAAGCAAGTATGAAGTTAAAGGTTCAGAGTTCTGATACACTGATATGCATAGATAGCTACTTCGTTAGTTATAATGAAGTAAGTTCACATATGATAAAGATTGTAAATTCAAGTAAACTTCCGAAGAAGTGAGACCTAACAAATTCAAGACTATTCAATTAAATATTTTTTAGGATCAGGCTGAAAGTCAATGGTCCTTTTTATTAGAATTCAACCCACTGATAATAGTAAACTATCAGAAAAATCAAGTATTTTAAGCCTTGATTTGAAGGCCAATTACAAACTGGAACTTACCCTTTTTCACCACCAATGCTAGTTTCAGTAGGCAAGAAAAACTGGTTTCAGGTATTAGATCTATATCAACATCTTTACTTAAATTTCCTAGTATGTTTTTGGAGGAAAATTGGGGTACCAATTTATGTCACAGAGTTCAATACAAAAGCACCTAATCATGTAAATAATAAAGAATTGCTTGTGAATAGTTGTTCAGGCCTGACCCATCTTCAGTCTAATCCTGGTTTTTCATTTTTCTGGCCTACAGCTGCTAGTCTTATCAAATCAGAAATTCAAGTATTTTAATTAGAAATTACTGCATTGGTTCATCATTAAATGAAAGGGATCAAAGAAAATTCTTCTTTCAAGGCCCTTAGCACAATGATGAATTATACACTGACTGAACCTGAATGCTATGGGGAAAAAATTATTTCCAGCTAAGGTACTCTTTTTTAAGCTCTTTGTTCTGTGCTGTAATTTACCTCAAGTTACAAAATTGTTTAGAATTCTTTAAAAAATTAGGTTTGTAGCAAAGCTGCACATAACATATGTGTAGAAGAATTTTGATTTAAAATTAAGGATGTCAATTTGTATTTTCTAATTTGGAAATTCATTTATTTTAAGATGGTTAGAGAAAAAAATGAACATATAATTGTGTTGCATTGCAAGCTCAAACCATTTTAAGCTATCAATACTATAGAACAATATTATAGAACAGAAGTCTATGTATTTCATCTAACACATTTCACCCTGTAATTAGTTTGTCACTTATCAAGCGCTCTTCAGAATAAACTTGGATTTTTATTGTGGCTGTTCAGAATGGCATGGCCTCAGTATAGTATTAAATGTGATTTTTATGAGCAGAACTTTTATTTTCATATCAGTCTGGCTTTGTAAACATACCTCACACTTTTTGGATACAAAAGCCATGTTCAGTATTCTCACCAGAGCAATTACTACAGATTTACTAAGCAGAATGTTAAGTGAAATGACACTGTTGGCATTTGTAATGTTAAGAAACCAACTACAGAAAAACATGTATTTATGATTTTTATCAATCAATAGGCTCAGATTGCATGTGACAGTGACAGAATTAACTTTAAAACACACAGATATACTGCCATTTTATGCTGAGTTTGAGCCTCCGTGAGATATTCTTGACAGAACATGTTTCAGTAAAAAGACAGAGGAAAGTTGTTACATAATTTATCTGGACGAACAAGTGGCAATGTAGCTTTTTAACATATAGCAAATATTTTCCAATCTAAATAAGAGGACTACATCAGGCTTCAAATGCAATGCTATAGAGCAGTAAAAAACAAAACAAAACCTGACCTTCCAGCTTTTACAATGTTCATATGTGGCATATGAAAAGAGGATCAAGTGATCTGTCAGTATATACCTCAGAACAACAATTAGATGGACTTTTGCTGGTTTTTAAGCACATTACGTATATTGTTTCTATCTAGTGGACACATTAGTTTCAACCCTGTAAGTTTTTCTATTGCTAGCTCATCTCCCTGAATCAGAGATTCTCCTTCCACCTCACAAAAATGTTGTACAAAAAAAGACAACCACAAGGTATGCTCAAAACCTTTGAAAACATTTTCCCTCAATACCACCACAATGCTACTGTATGGAGCAAATTCTTTAGACTTCAAAAATGGCTTCAGCACAGAGAGCTGTCTGAAGCCTTAGTACCAGCTTCTTCAGATCAGAAGATAGGTATTTTGATTCTACAGTCGTCAATGTCTGAGATAATACAATGGACCTTAGCATGCTTTACCCAACTGCCTAATGTTCAATAGACCTTATACAGGTTTAGAGCCAATAACAACTGTCCCTATGACTGACACTACCAGGTATGAATAGCACATTACCTGGATACTGTCAATAACAGTGTTTTGCTACTTACTACTGAATGGCTACCCTAAAGTATTATTGGTGAATGCAGTCCAGTAGCTCTGATAAATCTTCAAGCATCAAAAATCTTTATCTCCACTAAGCACAGAAGAATTTGATCTGACAGGAATTTTATTTGTTTCCACAAAAACAGACTCAAAGGCAGCCTCTTGCTCCTCCAAAGCACCAGCAGTTGTGCTTTCCTGAACCAAAGAGGTATTGCTGAATGTGGACTGATGCTCTGCAACCTTCTCCATCGCTAAGGTTCTTCTCCCTTTTCTTTTACCAAGTATTCGGACATAATTAGCTGGTATGAGTCCTGTTGTTTGACCATCACGGCTGGCCAAAAGCCAACCACGTATCTTGGGTTGTCGTTCTAGTAAGAAAAACAAAACACATGCAATTACCAGAAAACTCTCATGCAGCAACAGTGAACTATAAAAGTGTATTAGAGAACTTAAAATAGTTACATTAGATTTATGTAATACTCCTAAGCTTTTCAAAATGCAATGAAAACCTGTCTGAAGAATGACTTAGAATGTTTATCATTAGCAATAGTTTATTATTTTATATTAATTAATTTTTTAAAATTAATGTTTAAACAAAACAATAAATATATATATAGCCAAATGCAGTGTTCAAAAAGGGACTGGCAAATTTCATTGAAAAATATTAAATCAATTCTCAAGTTGACTGACACCTGGTGAAAGAAATGCATCTTTACGGTTTTTGTAAATACCAAGAAAGTAGTAGCCAACTGCAACTTCCAGATGAGTACATTCCATAGATAGGGAACAATGCAGAAATACTTTTTGTGCATGTCATAAAGACAGATCTAGGACAGTGAAGGCATCTTTAAAAGGGACTCACCTACAGATCTCAACAACCGAACAAGTTTGTAACAGGAATAGAGGTCTTTAGATAGTCAGGCCCTAACCGATTTTAGAGGTTAGCAAAGAAACTGGCAATCTGTGCAGAACTTTCAGTGCACTGTAACTTACAAGAATCCCTGTAACTTATACCAGTTAGCAGCCTAGCTGTCCTATTTTACACAGACTGACACTTTTAAACACATTTCAAGGGTAGCATGTTATTAAAGTCAGAATGATATATAATCAAGGTGTGAGTAACAGTCAACCAGTTGAGGAGAGACTGTAGCTGATATATCAGGTGTACCAGGCATAACTGCATGGAATGACACCTTGCCACAGTTGCCATATACAAATCCAAGAACAGCTGAGGATCAAGATGTACTCCCACACTGTAAATTTGTTTTTTGGGGGGCAATGCAAAGGCTGAATCTTAATCCCAGTTTTCTGTTCACCCATAGTACCTCCATCTTCCAGGTTTCTCTCAGCCAGTTATGACTGAATTTACACAACACTGAATGGCTTACTTCAGAGCTGAATGCTAAAGAGCAATATTGCTGGGTGTCACTAACCCCACTGCAAAACTATTGAGGTCAGAACTTGAGAAAAACAGCATATTATGCTTGAACTCATGAACAGAGAGTAAGAAAAAGAAGAAGAGGTACCAAAACAGTAGAGAACAGAAGCAGTACAACTACGATCCTTAAGAGAAATATAGCCAGATTCAAAACAGATATATTGTTATTGGCCAATTTAATCAGGCATCACCAGTTTGCATCCCATTTCCCAATCACTTTTTTTGTGTGTCATGTCCTTTAGAGTCTAACCTTAAAAGCAGAGGCTGTCTTGTTTTTTAAACACAATTTAGGAAACATTTTTAAACTCAACCACTGCAAAATATGATTTTAGGTTCGAATATACATATGGCAGGATCATTTCCTAAATACAACCTTGTTTCTGGTTACTTGGTCCCTTCTCGGTAAGGAAGGCTTGGGGTATCCCTTGCAGGGTTGTTGTGAGGATTATATAAATCAAATCAAATTGATAACATTACACTATGCATTTGATGGATAAAGTTGCTTGGATCTATTTGGAGTTGAACTACAGCTGTGCTGGTCCTGTGGAGATAACTGGAGTCCAGTCCTGACAAGTTATCTGGGCAGAGTTTGATCTGGTTATACCTGAGGAGGTCGATAGGGTCCTTGGGAGGTTGGGTACTGCCACCTGTATGTAAGATCCATGCCTCTCCTGCTGGGCCCTGGCCTCCCAGGAGGTAACATGCAGCTGGGTTCAAAGCAGAGGTAAATGCCTCTTTGTGGGAGGTGGTTGGTTCTACCTGCCTTGAAGTAGGTAGTGGTTCACCTCCACCTCAAGAGGCCATTGTTGGACCCAGCTGTACTGGACATTTTTTTTCCCAGTCTGCACATGAAGGTGGCTCCAAAGGGCTCTACAGGAAGCGGATTATATGTACCCACTATATGTACCCACTGCAGTTGGATCTCAGGCTGGGGTACAGCATTGAGAGGGCACTGATCGCGTTTATCAGTGATTTCTGCATCCATGAGGTCAAAACAAGCTTTCTCCTAATTTCTCAATAACAGTTAAATTGACCCAGAAAATAAATATATTTTCTGTTTTGATTTCTACACATTGCTTAGAAATTTGACAATGCAGGAATATTTTAAAACAAACTTAACTTACCTCTTGGTGCCAATTTTAACATTTCACCTGCACGGAAAGAAATTTCTTCTTCTGAAGTAGCATTGAAGTCATATTCTGCTCTCCCAACAACATGATCATCCTCTCCACTGGCCCAATCACTGGAAACTGTTTCACAGAACAAAGATTAAGCAACTCAATAATCTTGCTGGTGAGAATGCAATCCTTGAATTTACTACTTGAGAGGCATAGTGTAAGAGCAGTCTTTACAACTAAATACAGGAAACCCACTTGAAACCTTTATAATCCACTCTGTAAATATTTAAAAGCTAGAAATGTAAAATTTGCACAATGCATAACTAATATTTATGGTATATAAATTAAAAGAAAAAAAACACAGTTGCTTGGAAACATTTTTCTTTTTCCAAAGTTGTCCAAGCAAGTAACTTAGAAACCTGGCTCCAAACTGCTCTGTAGAAGTCTGGATGTAGATTAAATAAATATGTTATTTAACAGATTAAATTAACTTTTGATATGTATGGTGTTACACCTATGAAACTTTAGCTTGTATTTTATTTTTTGCAAATTCCACACAAATCCATTAAAACAGTTCAGATCTCCAGTATTCCTGTCATTTAAGCCTCTGGCCTAAAATTTTTTTTAAAGATTTTTTAGATCTTCTCCCTACTTCTTGGAAGGAGCTACACTTATAACAGTCAATTTGACTTTTGAAAAGCTTTTGAGAAGTCAAGAAAACCACTTGAGATTCAGGTTATTCATAGTTACACACTATATTATGCCAGGTCCTAATAAGGATCTTTTAAGTGTCTTAAAATTAATTTATGTTATCCTTTCCCTGCCATTATCTGTCATTTTACCAAACAATTTTAATCTTTTTTCCCAGTTATCTTATGCTTTTATAATTTCTATAAAATGCTTTGACATTCCTAAACGATGAAGTTGTAAATAATTCATTTAATAAATAAATAATAAACTATCTATACCAGCAATTATCAAGGTAATTCATAACAACTAAATCTCTTTTACCTACCTTCTTTCTTCCACATGACATCAAGATTCCATTAGGTATTCATAAATGCATGCATTGCTTCCCACAAATACATATTCAGATAAATGTACTTGCCATTAAAGGCTGCCTTAATATTATTTCACAATTTTCTATTTTAAAAAAGATACTAGGCAATTTGCAAACCCTGCTCATCCTTAGTACCCCGCAGCTTAGTAGCAGAGGACAGAAGACAATGCTTCTATTCCAAATCAGACAGATCTCCTTTACCTGTTTCATCATCACTGTAGGTGGATAGTAGCTTCCATATAAGATAGGGACCTCCTAGAACAACAGCAAAGAATAGGAAAATGGGCCAGGATTTTGCAGAATTAGCTGCCTTTTCTTCGGTACCAATGCAGGCCACAGTTCCTTTGCTTTCTGCCCATAAATCATCATTCTCCGAGCTCTTTCTCATACCCAGTAATCTCTGTAGCCATCTGTAGAAATACCTTATAGTTCTGACTAGTGCAAAGGCTGAAAACACCTTGGTAAAATGTATTTTGAGCCTGGAAAAGTGATTGGCAACATCCAATACAGCTCGGAAACTGTTGTAGACAGCTGAAAAGGTAGCATCCATCATCATGCTGACAGAGGCAAAGGCATGGACTATGCTTTCAATGGACTGAAATGCACCCCGGCTGCTTTCCTCAGCTTGCTGAACAAATCGGCTGCTAGGAATATCATCCATCCGAAAACGATTGTAGCCCAAGCCACCATATCCGTAATTATATGGGCTGTAACTTCCATAAAAAGAATTTCCATATGTGCCATAGCCTGAAGAAAAAGGGCTGCTATATGCAGGCCTGAAGGTATTCAGAGCAGTGCTCCCAGTCTGTTGTGAAGGCCTTGGCAGAATAGGAGGTGGAATTCGAGTGAGTGTGGGCTGTCCAGGTCTAGGCAGTTGACTGACTCCTACATCAGCAGATCTAAAATTGAGAAGTCCACTATTAATATACAGGATAATTCTTAAAACTAAACATAATTCATATCCGCCTCTGTGTATGTTTACAAACTGATACTAACTATCCCTACTCTACCATTTTTTAATTGCTCCTATTAAGTCAGTGCTGGACCTAAAATTCCTTTTACACAGATTTTCAGAAGTACTCAATATAGACACTGCTGATTTCAAGTTCAAATATTAAACAGTTCTGCAGGTATAGAACATGGAAATAAAAAAGGTAAATAAAAGGGAGGCAGAAGGAGAGGCTATGAAATATAAGGACTCATCATCATGTCCTGCTTGCCCTAGTGCAAGCAGAGACTACTTAGCAATTCTAGACAACATGTAGTGATGAGAAACTTGGAGCAATTACAAGTATTATCCTATGGCAAGAGAAGGTTAGTAGAGTACCAAAAACAAAAAACAACATATACAGGACGTGGAAGTGAGGCCAGGCCACAAAGGAAGAGTAGAGACAGGTATCCCAGAACTGTCAGTGAAAGCTTGGAATAAACTAAAGTTTAACAAAGGATGCTAACAATATCACAAATAGCTTCTCTGGATATATTGAATGTAAAAGGAAAAAAGAATCAATGTACCAGCCTTCAGTGAAGAAAGAAAAATGCTAACAGCTAACAAAGAAAAGGCAAAGCTACTTAACTCCTATTTTGAAATTCACCCTTTTCCAACATAAATTATGTCTTCCACCAGGAAACTGTGAAGGACCAGAACTGAAGCTTGACATTGACATAAACATGGTAATGAATGAGTGTAAAACTCAAAGGCAAGATTAAATACATTCTAGAGTATTGAAAAAAGTAGCAGAGGGTCTGACAGTATACTTATGAATGAGCTTTGATAAAACCTGGAGTAGTGGTAAAGCACGGGATGACTAGAAAGCAAACATCCCTATCTTTAAAAAGGAGAAAAAGGAAGATCCAGCAAATTATAAATCAGTCTGACACTTGGTAAGATTCTAAAGCAAATCATAAAGAGACTGATCTTGAAAACAATGCAGTGATTACCAAGTCAGCATGGGTTTGTCAAGAACAAATTTCACCTCATTCTTTTGATGAGGTAACTTTCTTAATAGATTGTGAAAATGCTGTATAAATAATATACCTTTACTTTGGAAAAAAAAATTACAAAGTAACCCAGCTCATGTTGATTAGTAAGCTAGTTAAGTGTGGGCTGAATGGCATGACAGTGGATACATTTTTGGCTCAAAAATCATACTCAGAATGCTCATTAAGAGTTTCTCATCAAATTGGAGAGAGGTGTCAAGCTGGGTACCATAAGGCTCAGCCCTAGATTTTCTCATCTTCAAAATTTTCATTCATGATTGGTTGGAGAAGTTGAGGATCTGCAGATGATATAAAATTGGGTGGGAAAGCCAATATGTTAGAAGACAGAAATACAAGCCAAAAAGATCTTGTTAAGGTTGGAGAAATGGGCTGAAAATAACAGAATGAAATTTGACAGGGACCAGTGCAAGTTGTTCACTTAACTAACAGAATTTAAATGCAGAGATAGATGACGGGATACCTGTTTTGGTAACTGAACTTGCAAAAGAGTTTTTGAAATGTAGCTGATTGCAAACTGAATATGAGCCATAAGTATGGGGTGGGTACAAAGAAGTTAAATGTAATTTTAGACTGCATCAGCAAAAAGGCTGTGCAGAGATCTGGATTCAAAGGGTAACGTGATTCACAGTGATGTAAATATCCATGTAGGACCTATCAGGAACACCTTAAACCAAATGCATCTTTTGCTAGGATTGTGCGCAAGCCGCAGAAGGCAGCTGTATAAGCTCAGAGAAAGATATAGTTGTTGCAATAGGTTAACCCATGCATGCTCTGAATCACATCTTGCTCTTTGAATCCTGATCTCTGCCAGTTTGGTCCAGCTAAGGCACCAGGCTAGAAACCAGGAGACTCTGAGTTCTAGCCCCACCTTAGGCATGAAAGCCAGCTGGGTGACTTTGGGCCAGTCACTCTCTCTCAGCCCAACTCACCTCACAGGGTTGTTGTTGTGGGGAAAATAGGTGGAGGAAGGAATATAAGGTGTGTTTGCTGCCTTGAGTTGTTTATAAAAATAATAAAGATGGGATAAAAAAAATCTAAAAAAAAAGTCCTAATCAACAGAAGTATAATTGCCAAATCACCAGAAGCAATGTGTAGTTCTAAGTACCATAGATTATGAAGAATAAGCAGAAATTAGAACAGGTTCAGAGAAGGTCAGCAAAGATGACTGAAGTATTATGGAGAGAGACTAAAGGAGCTGTTCAGCCTTAAGAAAGAATCACTGGGAGGTAAGAACGTGATACACTTCAAGTACCTAAAAGGATGTCACACAGAATGTGAATGTCTGCTCTTTCATATTCCAAAGTACAGGACATAGAATAATAGATTTAAGAAGAGGAAGGAGATAATATAGAGGTATCATGGCTGATGAACCCGATAGACTTCTCCATGAATTTGTTCAATCCCTTTTTGAACTGATACAATGAGTAGCCATTATAGTACTATATTTTGCAGGCAAATTTCCAGAGTTTAATTTTGCTGTCTGAAGTTCTTCCTTCTACCTGTCCTGAATCTCCCATTGTTCTGTTCCACTGATTCTAGTATTATGACAAAAACTTTTCCCTGACCATTTCCACAACAGAATTGTGTACTCTACCATTTCTCCATCCTACTTGCCTTGTTTCTTAGCTAAAATGTCCTGGACATTGTAACTATTTCTTATATGAGAGCACCAGCTCCTTGACTATTTGGCTGTACTTCCTCTTTGTACTCATGTGGATATTTTTCTCCGCCAACTGAAAGCCTATAAAGCTTACTTTATCTGGCATCCTTCATTCTGCCACTGCCAACTACAAACTATTGTCTAGAGCCATAGCTGGGAATGGAAGAGAAAATCCACTGCTGCTTAACAATATTAACCAATACTGTAATATGTTTTTCCAAATACTTTTTCTAAGTTACAAATATTTTTAGTGGCTTTTTCCCTTCTGCCACCTGTATGAACTCTTTCACAGGAAGTGTGCTGACTGCTATTGAATACTCTTGCAAGTCCTGGATTTTGGGCACAGCAAGCCTGGCTGTGTTGTCTCATCTTCGGTATAATGGGCACTAGGGCCTGGTTGAGTCTCTTGAAGCAGCTTCTATTGTTATCTCTTTCATACTTTGCTTCCTCATGGTATTTGCAAAGAAACCCTTGCCTTTAATTAATTATTAAGGATATCATCACTAGCCATTAATTCAATGGAGATCCCTTTTCTGTTTCTTTTGGCAGAGAAAAGATGCAAGGCAACCTTTGGGTGCATTGAGGTACTCAATCATGACTACTGCTAGGAGGAAATGTGGGACATGCTACAGTGGGGCAAAAAAGTATTTAGTCAGCCACCAATTGTGCAAGTTCTCCCACTTAAAAAGATGAGAGAGGCCTGTAATTTTCATCATAGGTATACCTCAACTATGAGAGACAATCAGACAATGTGATTTTCTGGATTTTCCCCCCCATTTTGTCTCTCATAGTTGAGGTATACCTATGATGAAAATTACAGGCCTCTCTCATCTTTTTAAATCAGACAATGTGATTTTCTGGATTTTCCCCCCCATTTTGTCTCTCATAGTTGAGGTATACCTATGATGAAAATTACAGGCCTCTCTCATCTTTTTAAATCAGACAATGTGATTTTCTGGATTTTCCCCCCCATTTTGTCTCTCATAGTTGAGGTATACCTATGATGAAAATTACAGGCCTCTCTCATCTTTTTAAATCAGACAATGTGATTTTCTGGATTTTCCCCCCCATTTTGTCTCTCATAGTTGAGGTATACCTATGATGAAAATTACAGGCCTCTCTCATCTTTTTAAATCAGACAATGTGATTTTCTGGATTTTCCCCCCCATTTTGTCTCTCATAGTTGAGGTATACCTATGATGAAAATTACAGGCCTCTCTCATCTTTTTAAATCAGACAATGTGATTTTCTGGATTTTCCCCCCCATTTTGTCTCTCATAGTTGAGGTATACCTATGATGAAAATTACAGGCCTCTCTCATCTTTTTAAGTGGGAGAACTTGCACAATTGGTGGCTGACTAAATACTTTTTTGCCCCACTGTATGTCTGTTTCCTCCTTCATGTATACTCTTCACTACGAGGTAGAAAGAAAAAAGCATGCACAGGCTGTCTTTTTGTTTCACTGAGATTAATTCACTGAAAGTGATGCTTGCAGGAATTTGTTTTCTTTAAGTTCACCTTGAGTGGCACTCTCCTTCCTGCCCGTGTTGTATGGAACAGAAGAAGAGAAGAATGCCCTTTAATCACATGTTGTTCCTGCTGCTGCTCCTCCCCACCTAGCTTTCACTCTCACATGAGGCACAAGAAACAAAACAAACAAACAAATTAAAGGTGGGAAAGAGTAAACATGAATTTACTTTAAAAGTACAAAGAGTGGATTAAATATAAGGGAGTCATAATCTATTAACTAATTTATATTTTTTGTTCTGGTTTCATTTACTTTATGAAATATAGCCACCAACACAGAACTGAAATGCCAATGTGGCCTTGGCTCAGCAAAATTTTGCATTGCTACTTTAAAGAATCACAGATTGATTGTTAGTTTCATTTCAGAATTAGTCCCACTAATACTTTAGTCCCTGTAATACTTTCAAGTAAATAAGAACTGGTTTTTAAAATGATTTTATGTAACAAAGGAATTTCAAGTGACTAGAGTTGCAGATTGAGATCAAAGGTTAATTGCACAACTGCCTGTCTTCATTTCTGCCCATATATATTACAATGTGTATCTGAAACAAAAAAGAAAACCAGGCTGGCACTTCTAAACTCCCCCCAAAACCAAGGATATTGTTTAAAGCACAGCAAACAATAGAAGGGAACAACTGATTGGACAGCTGGACTCAAATATATGTTCAAGACTGAGGTCATCCAAGGAGTTACTGGGTTTCTTTTGCCAAAACATTATATCCAAATTTCAGTTCCTTAACTAAATGAGCACACATCTGTGAAGAGATCAATGAAAATAACATGTCTGCAAGTAACCTGTATGCCAATGTACCATTTAAATAGCTTCTAGTCTATAAGAGAAAATGTTTGCAAAGCTTGATTTGCTTGCTGGTCATGAAAGGAGATATATGGATAATTAAAAATTTGCAACAATTCATTACTTCACAGAACAGTCCTTGGACAAGGTGCTGTTTATTTTACAGAATGAATTAAAGGAAATTGTGTATTTATTTGATTTTTAGACTGCCACGATCATGTGACTCTTGGTGGTTTACAAGAAATAAAAACATCCATAGTACAATAAAAATAATTCATAATTGTCTTAAAACTGGAGCACAGAAAAAGCTTATAGACACCCAAATGTGATTTCTGCACAATATCTTTACAACAAAATTCTATATACGGATGTAAATGTTAAGACTGACAACATTCAGCTGCCTCCGAAGTTAAGTATGGATAGAAATGTGGCGTACGCAGGTATATTATGCAATCTTAATTATCTAGAGAACACAAGTAGGAAACAATGAGGAGTAAGTGCTCTACCCCACCTATTTTGAGAAAAGCAAACATGTCATAATAGGTATAAACTAGCACAATATGCAAGCTACAAGTTGTTGCACTTTCAGGAGGGACAATCCCACTAGAAAAAACCTTTTAAATTAAATTTCCTAGAGCAAAATGTAAAATAACAGAAGTCAGAGAACTTAAGCACATAGAACTTTAACCCACAAACTCAGCATTCTTCCAGATATACAGTCACAGACTTTTCCAGAACAAGCACACAAAGCTGACAAAGTCCAAGGTGGGAAAATAGAAAGTAAACATAAATATTTATATTGATGCCACCATCCAACTCCGTTTTGTCCTTTCTTCCCCAAAGCAAAAAACTCTACTTGAGAAATAAACCTGATTGAGGGAGGCTAGAAGAAAAAAAGAGGAACACTTGAATTTATGGGGAAAAAACTGTCTTTGCCTTGAGGGAGTTCAAACCAAAGCAACAAACCGTTTATGTTTCCAGTCATAAGAGAAAGAGATGGAGGATAATTTGTGTGAAATACAGTAATGAAATGGGGGAGATTAGCGAACCCCCTTTCCTTCTTCAGCCTGCCAGGCTTTTGCTTATTCTCACGCTACAGGATGGAGTAACAGTTGTTCCTCTGTTGCACCCTCACCTACTCAATAACCGAGTGAATCTGGAAGGGCGCCGGAGTGGCGGAGGTGGAGACTTAGAGATTTCATAAGGTGGGCATCCGAAATTTATTTCTCCAGTGATCACCCCAACCAGTAGCTTTGAACGAAAGCACCTAAGCATGCGCAGAGTACCCTCCCTTCCCCACTAAAGACCCCCCACCCCCTTGCATGGTTCAGTTTAAATAGTAATAATTAAGCTTTGAGGTGGAATGGCCATTTCGTCTCCTGTGCTCCTCCCTCGCCCGCCTTGCACCCGCACCCGAACCCACCACCACACTTACAGTCGCCGGTTCTCCCACGGCTTGGGGGGAGACGGTTGATTGGCCGCCATCACCGCGCAGCGGACCCTCGTTCGAGCCTTGCTACTGCTTCTTGGGAGAGAGCCGAACTATCGAACTTACGCCAGCACCGCGCCGGCTCCATCAGGCCGCGCGACGAACGCGTCGATCGACTATCTCTGGATGCGATGCGTGATTCCTACTTATTCAAGTCAAAGAGAAGCGTGAAAATGAAGCCAAGCAGCACTTCCGCAAATATCTCTCTATGTTAATTAATTGCACTATTACCCTAAGTTTTCTAGTTTATTTGAAAACCATATTAAGACAATATTTTCATTACGTTGATTCAAAGTGACCATGCAATTATTAATTAGGTCTATTTTTTCACCCTATTTATATGGCCGTCCACTCGACATATATCTTTCTTATGGCCACTTTTAATTTTAAATTTTATTTAACCCATCACTCGGTCCCTTAATACATTTTAGTTCTGAAACAGCACTGAAGATGGTCTGCAACATTCAAATAAGCAGCTAGCATTAACACTCGCTTCTCCGTTTGAATTATTTTTCTTCCTGCACTGTTAAAAACACTCACTTAACCAAACCTTTCTTTGCTTGGAAAAGTTTTTTTTTACGTCGTGTATAATTACTCTGTCATTAAATCTTTAATAAAATTTCAGAGTTATATTCTAAGGAAAAAAATGAGAATGATCTCTTTCAACAACTAACTCAAGAAATTTTCTTTCTTTCGTTCGTTCTTTCCTCTAGCCACCTTTTTCTTTAATACCTGTATGCTATCACCATCCTTGATCAAAACGTTAGAGATTCAAAGAAATAATCCTGCAACTTTACACGTACACTTACTACTGCACAATCGTGCACCGGAACATTTATTTCCGAGAAAGGGTTTCCTTCCCATCCCGGAAGCGAGGGGCAGCCATTGGTAGGGAGCTGGGGCGTGGCAGGTAAATAGTTCCCCCTTTCCTCCTATCGACATAAGGGAAAAGATAGGCGTTGAGCGAGGTGTTCGGTTTTTTAGCAGAGTGGAGAGGTTAGGTAAGTTACTCTGATTCTTTGATTTCTTGTAGCAAGATAAAGGATAGAGCCAATAATACTTTGCCGATGCTTATTCAGAGGTAAGTCACAATTTCTCTGGGATCTGCGTGCTCGCTAATATATGCTACCAGCGCAGACTTTATACGTCCCAGTATCCCAGTTGAATTGCCATTAAAGTAGATTCCCCAATGGAGAGCGCTCTGGATTTATGCGACTGCTCTCCCGACCATTCTAGGGGGTGATGCGAGTTAGAATCCAGTCCATTTGGAAGATGCAGAGTTGCGAAAGTCTGCATCAGAGGGAGGAGACAGTAGGTGTTCACACATGCAGATCCAGCTGTTAGCTAATCAATTCTGTATTTTTAAGCCAGCCATGGAATTTGTGCTAAAAGTGAAACTCCGATTATGGGTTACTCAGTGCAGTCCTAAACACTTTTTCTCAAGAGAAAGTCTCTATTAAGTTAAATTTACTTAATAAGAGTGTTAGGACTTAGCTTAAGAACTATGCTATGCTTTATGTTAAAAGAAAGTGAGGTTAAAAGAAAAATACGTTTAACTGGACCATATTATCTTTGGAAAAATGTTTTATTTTGTTCTGTGTTTTGAAGTTTGAAGATTTTTAAAAATATGAATGTATACGTAGGCCTTTCCTTTCTTGAGACTTCATAGTCTAGTCTGTTGAATCTCTAGTAGTTAAGAAGGGGATTGAAAATACTATAGATGGATTTAAAGTAGTGTGTATAAGTATACACATATAGATTCCAAATCTCAGTCTATTTGTCAGAGTAAAAAAGCAGGATTTAAATGAATATTTTTTTCTCTCCCTTCTTGAGTGTTGCTCAGTGTTTGATTTACAACTGTTTTGCAAGAACATTTGTTAGGTACTCCCCACCCTTGGTCCTGCTATGCTACCTCATCATGGTGATGGTGTTCCTGGAAAGGATGGGCAAAGAATGCAGGGAGTGTATGCCAAGAGTATATAATCTTACCAGAGTCACCCAATATGTGAAGATCATCCCAGCTCCCCAGCAAAAACAAGCAGGCACCTATATCAGGCAACAATGATATAAGAAGGTGCTGGAGGTGGATGATCACTTTAATGACAACAGCAGAGGTTGTCATTAAACAAGGCAATGGTACATCATGCCTTTATTTTCCTAAGCAAACCATATAGATAGACAATATAAAGTGGCTGCCAATATAGTGCCAGATGATGGGTCCTTCAGGTTGGATGACATTCAATATGCTACTGAGGAATCGCTGAGGGTCTTTTGGAGTAGTAATTGTGTTTATGACGTGGCTAGATTAAAGTCTTCAGGATCTCTGATATTGCCATACAGGAAAAGAATATCCGAAGCTGCAAAGAGAAGTACAATAGGAACATAGAATGTAAAAAGCACGAACACGGGAAAGCTCAACACAGTGAAAGATGAAATGAATTGACTACACATTGACATCTTAGGCATCAAAAAATTGAAATGGACCGGAATTGGATGTTTTCAGTCAGAAGATCACACTGTTTATTACTCAGGATACAAAAAATAAAGAAGGCATAGCATTGCTTTCATAATCAGGAAGGATATGGCAAAAAAAGGTACTTGGGTACAATGCAGTGAATGACTGAATAATATCAATTAGATTTTGCAGACAGCCCTTTTATATGATAGATATCCAAGTTTATGCTCCAACCATGATGCAGAAGAAGAGGAGGTAGACAAGCTCAATCTAAAATCAGCAGAGCATGCAAGCAAGATGTGTTACTTGTGGTTGGAGACTGGAATGCTAAAGTTGGAAATAGGGGGAAAACCTATTTTGACTCTATGGCCTGAGAAACCAAAATTAAGCAGGAGAACAAAGTATCAGTTTCTGCCAATCCAGTGATTTCTTCATTGCTAACACAGTCTTGAAACAACAAAAATTATGCCTATATACATGGACGTTACCAGGTGGAGTAAATACTACTACTACTAATTTAGTAAACGTGATTGCCATCCAACTCTCAACAACTCTGGGCAGCTCACAACAATCACAGAAAAAAAATACAATAAAATCAATAAAACATAAAATATAAACAATGGCAAGTGTGATGATGCTAGGGGTCTCTCTCTCCCTCACCAAAGACCTGAGTGTAAGACAGGAGTCTCTGGCAGGTTTAAAGCTCTGGGACATGAGGGATTGCCATCTTTGCCCAAACTGCAGTGAAGGACATGGTTAACTAAACCTGTTACTTTATACAGTGCAGGCAATTCAACCCCTTCGCTCACACGCACTGAGCTCTCTTTCTCTTCTTCACTTGTTTGCACACACCAGTGCTCTCCTTTCCCCTTTGCTCGCTTGCATGCATGCACCACATCCTCCTTTACTTGCACACACCACTCCCTCCTTTCCCCTTCACTTGCACACATGCACTGCACCTTCCTTCCCTCCTTCTCTCAATTGCATACACACACCAGTGCTCTCCTTCTCTTGCTTTGGGAGAGATAGGTGGGAGTTGGAGTCAATCCCTTATCTTACTGAGGCTCAAGACTAGGAGGGACCAAGCCCAGAATGGCTTGGATTGGTGTGGGCCCTCTGCTAACGACCGGTGAAACTCACTTAATGACAGGCATGGGGTGTGCCAGAATTGCTGTTGCTAAGCAATGCAGTCATGTGAAGCCTTGCTTTACAACCGCATTGCTTAGCAACGAAATTCCAGTTCCAATTGTGGTCGTAAGTCGAGGACTACCTGTAATGGCCAACTAGTTGGAAGAGATCAGTATCCATACTAGTCTGAAGAATGGAATTTGTACACTATCTATAATTTCACATGCTAGGGAAATAATGCTTAGGATCATCCAAAACAGAGCTGTACATGGAAAGAGATGCCAGATGTTCAAGTTGCCTTTAGAAAAAGCCAAGGAACAGGAGACACTGTTGCTGATGCATGCTGGATAATTGAGAAAGCCAAAGAATATTTTAAAAAAGTCACTATGTGCTTCATTGTTTATAGAAAGGCCTTCAATTGTGTCGATCATGTCAAGCTGCAGAAAGTGCTCAGACAAATGGGAATACCAGAATATCTCATTGTCCTCATATGAAATCTATACACAGGTTAGGAAACCACAGTGTTGATGTTTTTGCACTTTGGTGTTGGAGAAGACTTCTGAAAATATTGTGGATAGCAAGGAAAACAAACAAATGGATCATAGAACAAATAAACTTCAGAGTTCTCACTTGAGGCATGAATGATCAGGCTCAAATTACCTGTGGTTAAGGTGCTGGCCTAGAAACCAGGAGACTGTGAGTCCTAGGCTTCCCTTAGGCATGAAAGCCAGCTGGGTGATGTTGGGCCAGTCACTCTTTCTCACCCAATCCACCTCACAGTGTGGTTGTGGGGAAAATAGGAGTCAGGAGTATTAGGTATATTTGCCGCCTTGAGTTATATATAAAAAGGCAGGATAAAAATCTAATAATAGTAATAATAATTTGGACACTTTGTGCAAAGACCTACCTCTCTATAGAAGTCTATAATGTTGGGAAAGGTGGAAGGAAAGAGAAGAGGACAACTAGCAGCAGGTGGTTGGATTAAATTACAGTTATGATGGGTACACCATTAGAAGGCCTGAAGAGCTACTTTGGGGGTAGATTATCTTGGTGGTTGTTATGAGTCAACACCAACACATAATTATTAGTTACATATCTTCTCTGTTATTTTGTCATTTCTTAATTTGTGTTATCATGATTTTTTCTTAGGAACAAGGGAACCTTCCATTTATTATCAGTTCTTTGGTCAGCTGAGCTTAGTATTGTCTGTGCTGACAGTGGGGGGAAGGAGGAGTTGCATGTAGAACATACACACTGCTAGTGAACTATGGCCCTTCCTTGATCCTCAGTTCCTTCTGGCTATTCTAGTGATTCTGTAAATAACTTTTTCCCCCAGATACAGGCTTCTTCAGCATGGTTGCACTGGCAGAAAAAGACAGACCTGTTGCTCAGATGTTACTGAATTCTGGAACATGTCCCCGCTGTATTTTCAGGTTCTGTGGTGTAGGATTGCAGACTTCCTACAGGCAACCCCATAAGGTTTGATTAAATTAAAATATATAATGTTGATGAGAGTTGTTTTAATGAAATGTTCAGTCTTAGTCATTTCTCTTTTCATAGCATCTTTCTTTAGGATTGAAAAGAGATTTGGAGTGAACAGGATCCAAAAGATATTTGACAGTGAAGGAGGACATGCAAACAATAATATTTATTATTTTGTGCTAATCTGAATGGGGGCAGGAGATGAGAATTAATGCTAAAGAAGTCTACCTCAGAGTCCAGCCAGAGGAAGTGATCAAGCACAACATCATGAAGCCAATAGATTAATAAACTGAAAGTGATCAAAAGTCAATTGTGTCCCATTTATGACTGACTCTTAGAATCCAGGTCTGCGGTAGGAGCTTGGCTATTAAGCCATTGTAGCCTCCTCTGATGGTTCCATTTGTTACTTATTTGCTTTCCTCTTCTAAATCTGTGTTCTTTTCTATCATTGACAGGCCTCAGACTTGTTTTTCAATCCTCTGCCCTTGATCACTTTTTTGTTGTGGTTGGTTCAGGCACTGACTAAAGATGGTGTCATTGTTAGCTGCTTCTTCCAAGGGTTTTAGTCTTACTCTGTCTTGCATCCAGGAAATGTGAAAGGACAAATGTGAAGCTGGAATGTGTAGCTGCTTTATACTGATTTAGACCATTGGTCCATCAAGCATAATACTATTTTGTTTGACTGTCAACTTTTTTTTTCAAACATGGTTCTTTCCTAAGGATGCTGTTGG